GGTAGCGGGGGCCGGGGGGGGGGGCTGGTTCTTATTTGCAGTAAATGAAGCGAGTGGACGAGGGAGTAGGGTCGAAAGAATGAAGGAAAAGGTTGCAAGTGTGCTAGCGGTGTCGTGTCATCGTTGGACTGATATACTTTGGTTTTGGGACAGCCATGTAACGGACGCCAAATTTGAGGTCATTGAGCTGGGATGTCGACTCATGCACAAGCCAATCTCAAGCAACTGATTGGGCGGTCTAAATCACGTGATCCACACCATAACACACAACTACTCCATACGATGTCTACCCGCCTAGCGGAGGTTCGCATCAGCAGCCTCTCGTAGCTCGACTTCTGCGTGGGATTACCTTCTGCGCAGGGGCCTGCTAGCCTGCGGTTCAAATACGGGCCACGTCATCCCACATTTTGGACTTTCCACGTCAGCCCGTTTCTTCATGAGACACTTTCTGAGTCTTGTACAGCATAAAATATGAATAACAAGGATGACGGCAACCTAATATTTCTAGTGTGAAAAGTCGTAAATATGCGTATATCCAAGAGTTGAGTTAAGTCTGAATCTAGATTTACGAAAACATGAACGTCGAGATCTTGCCAAGCTTTTATTGCAAGAAGAGATATGGAACGGCAGAAGCACTGCGAAGAAAGGAAGCCCGGTGGAGGTTAGTTTAAGGTATGTGGACGTTGAGTTTATCTAATCACCTTATAAACGTTCAAATGTACATATTTCACGCGAAGAGATCCTCTGGAGTAAATTCCTCAAATTGTTTCATTCTATTTTCTCCCTTGCATTGACAGCCCATCTTTCCTTAGTTTAGGCGCCCTAACAATTTAACTCGTTTTTATCTACTCGTGCACAAATGCAATTTGAACGCACGTGCTTCCTGGCTTAGGCACTACTAAACAGTCAGAACGCTGGCTTGTGCGTGAATCTTTTGTCGCGATTCTTTGAGCGGAGGAATTCCACTTGACTTGGCCAGGGAAACAAAGTAAAACGAAACCGATATAAGATCGCAGGATTTTTTATCCGTTTGGGGATCCTGTGGAGGTAGATTATAGGCCATGTGGAGTAGATAACATCCGGCCGGGTCGTCCAAACAGTGCGACTGGTGATCCTGAATGTTATTTTCCTGTCCAGTTGACATAGTATACCACAGTTAAGCTACCATTCACATCCATTGTATGAGAAGTGGTTGCTAGACTGCTTTCTACTTGTCTGCTGTCACTGCTTATATTAACCCCTTATTTTGCACAACGGAGATCCTATGTCAGGATTCTTTGGAAAGCGGAAAACTACCGCCCGTTCCAACTAGTTCAACAGCTATCCTCCCTTCTAGCTACCTCGACGACAAAGTTCTAACCTTCCCAAAACTAGGCACCTACTCTGACCCAACTAGTACTTGGTTTCCAGTTCAACAAACATATCCGTTTTTCCTGGGTCCACTTAGCTTGCTGTCATCCCGTTTGGGATTTGTTTCTATTGACATCGTTCTATCTGGTGCCTCCTGACACTCACCAGACGCTAGTGCTTTCATTAATTTCCTTCGTCACTCCTCAAGCCCAAGCGCCGCGTGGAACTGGTATTCATTCAATCTGGCTGGTTCCCGGTCTACACTCACGCGATCCTCCAACGAAATGGAAATTATCCGTGACCCGGCATCGACCTGACTCTCTTTGTCAGTCTTATTGTCTAACCTAAATCCAGCTGCCACGAAAATGCGTATCCCCTCCCCGATCGCGGCACTCTTGACGACCGTAACGATTCAATGCAATGATAGCATGGCACTTTCACACCCAGTATGATGACACTCCATCAGTTATTTTCTTTGGAATCTCGGCCACAACCTCTCGCTTAATCGAGCCTGTGATTGCAACCACGAGCAAATTTTCCATCTGGCCCCGACCGTTTCTGGGACAAGCTCTTTCCTGCCCGATGAATTCTCGTTCGCCGGTCTACACTCACGCGATCCTCCAACGAAATGGAAATTATCCGTGACCCGGCATCGACCTGACTCTCTTTGTCAGTCTTATTGTCTAACCTAAATCCAGCTGCCACGAAAATGCGTATCCCCTCCCCGATCGCGGCACTCTTGACGACCGTAACGATTCAATGCAATGATAGCATGGCACTTTCACACCCAGTATGATGACACTCCATCAGTTATTTTCTTTGGAATCTCGGCCACAACCTCTCGCTTAATCGAGCCTGTGATTGCAACCACGAGCAAATTTTCCATCTGGCCCCGACCGTTTCTGGGACAAGCTCTTTCCTGCCCGATGAATTCTCGTTCGAATTTGGCCAGCCTGGTTTTTGCAAGCAATTTCGGCTTGCCTCTTCCAATAGTTCAACTCTGCATACGGTGTTCGGTGAGCCCAATTCATTAGCACCATCCAACCCATATCCTGCATCTGACTTCTCCGCAAAGTGCAACCAGTGAATCTACCTAGTCTCAGATTAAACCACATTTTTGTGACGAAATTGTCATTTGCTTCATTCCGCCATTTCAATCCTGACACAGTTCAATACGAAACCCTCGATATTTTATAGTCACAGGCTTTGTATTATTCGGCGGTAAAAATTCAGGTCGCAGTGGTTTTGGGCTTTAGTTCGGCTGGCTGGCGCCAACTCTACTGCCCCACCAGATCAGATGTTCTGGCTCCTCATTTTTCACCGTTAAACCTTTCTTGTCGTGTGTTGGGCAGGAAGCTAATTGTTTTGCCCCATGCTCTGCTTTTCGCCCGCCACCTTCAAATCCTAACGGCCTGATCCTGCTCAATATTCTCTCCAAAAACGCATAGTAACTGTGCCTCTCTACCCATGCCGGTTTAGTGGTGACCACGCCTGCATCGGATGATGCCCGCCCCTATGACACCGCCCCTTTTCCTTACCCCCCTCGTGCCCACATTCCCCGTCAGTCATGAGTTTGTTTGGACTGGAACGTGATGATCACGCCCGATGGTATGCCAGCCACAAAGAGGGAAATAAACATTATTCTGATAATTTTCCTTTTGTTGGCAGTGACGCAGGGCAATTTAGAAATTCAAATCCAGTCTCTCCCAGCTGTATTATCTTTGTGTTTGTATACCGTGAAATCTCAATTTTTACTGAGATTTTGCTAGCCATCTTGGAAGAATCCACTTGATTCCTGGTTTTTTTTGGGCGGAACGAGATAGGTGGCAGTTCAAGACACTAATTTAGTGGGCAAATCGTTTTACTGGACACTTAACAAATGTTATTTGCATTTCTCGCGGCGCATCATTTTGGGGGTCGTGGAGGATCTGCTTCTCTGACCATAAGCGAAGCGCATGCACGACTTCTAGAATGCGATTCATTTGGAGGAGCGATGCATGTGTCGTTAGTTTTTGGGGTCCTGCAAAAGAACACTTGTTCTTCCGTTGCAGACCCGATTTCATGGAGGCGAGGCGACGAAATCTGTCAGATTAGCAGGGTTCAGCGGTTTAAAGAAAGCAGGTTCATTGGGTCGGCGTTATCTTAAAGGAGCTGTCCTAGTTTACCGCGGTCCAAACACGGACAGCCCATTAAGCCTGCGGAGCCATATGTGAAAAGACTAGGAAATGAGTCCAAATTTCATGGCTGTTCTTCACGCAGTGTCTGTCGCGTTTCGGCCCACAGAGGTGAACCGAGTTTGACCAGAGAGTTCGGGTTGAATACTGTCACGCCAAAGGAATCGCTCTGTCTAAATGGGGGGCGAGAAAGCTGGACAGCCGACAGCTGAACTCGGTGCAGATTTCCAGGAGTATCATCCTTACGTAGTGAGTAAAAACTGCCTCAAGCCTGATTTTTCTGAACCAGCTGGGGGAACAACCCATGGTCTTGGTCACCGCAGGGTACAGCCTTAGTCCCTAGGAGGCACTGTTGCCCGGCAACTTGTAGGCAGTTCCATCTCGCGGAATCGGTAGATCTACTCGAACACAGCATGCAAAATTTTGATATGATGGCAGTTTGAGCAGAAACCCGTCATGTTTATCGTAACAGATGCGCGTGCACTGAGATAAGCCGGTTCAGTTTTGACAATGAACGTCCGGAGACGTGTCGCAAACGGGGCTTTTGAGCGGATCGGTGATTAGATACGCGATGCTAGTTACGAAAACCACGTCCGAAAGTAATCGCAGCGTTTTTTAACGAGCCCAAGAAAACGAAGGTGCCGGTTGGCCGCGTTATCCTGCAGTGTGATCCGAAGAATGGATGATAGTGACCTGAGACCCAGGAGGGGAAGACTATATACAGCGCTGTGGTTTCCGCTACCGGTATGTGAGTTCTTGAGTTCCTTCAGCCCGTCACGGATACGGTATATACAAAAACACACGAGACGCACAAAATATGACTTTGAACCGGCTCAACTTTGCTGCCCACAGGAAAATCCTGAGGGTACTAACGTTCAACGACAATGTATATCCTAATAGCTATATCCGCCCATCTGCATCCGGAAACTCGAGGAGACTCGACCTACCGATTCGAACATGAGAGGTACAATATACCGAGTGAGCGCAACAGCACATAACCGGACCAGTGGGTAGAATAAGGCATTTCTCAGCGGATTCACAGATTCATGAATTGATACACAGGATTATGGATTACACCCAATTTTTTGGCCCGGTGTCGCTCTTGTTGTTCAGTGTTTGTCATTTAACTGAAAGGCACAAGCTGTTTAGCTTCCAGGCGTGGAGTAGTAGGCCTGTCAGCGGGAGTCTCATAAAAAGGCGTCTAATACTGTTTTCAACCTACTGGTAAATGGGGCGTTCAGAACCGTCAGAATAAGGTTATCAAACGCACCATTTACTCGTTACATTTACGCGTTACACCTCCGCCAAAATACGCCCTCGGGTTCAAATAACCACTGTTAAGGCCACAATACGTAAAAGGCCCCCAAACACGCCCTCGAGAATCTATTCCTCGTTGTTATCAAGATAACTGCAACTTGCTTCGGCCTCCCCATAACTACATGACAAATACACCAAACCACGCGTACCGCGAATTTGCTGGAACCCTACATCCGCACATACCGGCGGCCAGCTCAGGCCCTTGCCTCCATCAACCATCATACACCCACTTCCGTCCCAACTCTTGACCATTTGTAGACGCGGCCCGTTCCCGTACAACCACCGTTACCTTCTGCACCACGCCATTCTCCACGCCACCCGCCGACGAGAATGACTATATGTCACAAAACCCCTCCCAACCCCCAAACACTTCCGACTACATACCAGCC